CATTACCCCTGTCATCCACTGGTTTCTCCACACTCTTCCCAAGGACCGTCCTTTCTTCCAAGGATGCCCAAGGACAAATGTGAGCAGAGATCTTTCTCTTCCACGCTTCGTTGCTTTTACAGCATCCCGTTGCTGCGTTTTTATGTCCCTCGGCTTCATCCAACCGTTCAGAGCAGCAGTGCTGCTCCCAGCTCTGCCTCTCCACTCAAACCTATAAATCAGTCTCTAGATGCAATTTGTCTTCTACAACATGTGAAGACTTGAGCGTTCTTTCTGTCTGGATAGGACAAAAAGCACTTATGTATGCTGCTCTTTGTGGGGTTTTTTTTTTGTTTCTTTGGGGTTTTTTTGGTTGTGTTTTGTTTGGGGGTTTTTTGTTTTTTTCTTTTAGAATGTGAGAGTTTCTGTATTGTATTGTGTCATAGGAGAAAGGACAGGTTTGGGGCTTGTAGAGGTTTTTGGGGGTTCTCTGGTTTAGTTGTGTTTGGCATTTTTGGGGGTTCTCTGGTGTAGCAGCAGGAGTGCTGCTGCCCCTTGCTTCAGTGCTGGATGGCTGCACCCATGAAATCGATAGCAAGAGCCAAGCTCTTGGTGGACCTCGTGGAGTCTTCATCTCGTGGGTGTTTTCAAGGTTGCTGTGGGTAGAGTTTAGTATTTTGTGCACGTCATTTTTATTAACTGTTACTCAGAACCGGCTTTTACGCTCTCAAGTCCTCTGCCTTCCCCTGCCCTCTCGTGAGCCTGCCTCGGCTGCGTCCGGGCGAGCGGGACGGGGTGGACCCTGTGTACCACCTTCAGAAATCTCACATACGTTTAACAAAAAGCAGTCCAGGCTGCTGTCACTTCTGGGTTTGTGTGGCTAGACAGACTGATGCTACCATTAGGATGAGCTTCCAAAGGATTTGGTGGTTTTTCTTTCCTTTTTTCCTATCACAATTTGCAATATCTCTTTAAAAATTCCCTTGTTGATTAAGTTTTTTTCAGTGTAATCACCGACTGTATTTTCCTGACTCTGTGGGAGGGCAGAGCTGTAGGTGGCTGTGCAGACCGTAACTTCCATTTTCTTAACTTCCTTTCACGTACAGCTCTGAACCGCAGTATGGCATTTCAGCGGGGGGTTTGGTGCTAAATATCCCTTTGTTGGGAAAGGTCAGTCACAAGGATGTGCTGGCACCGATATAGGGACTGGCTGTGCCAGCGTGTCAGATGCACTCATATTTGAATTCCAGATTCTTCTTACGAAAAAAAATGTAATTGTTATGGTTTAAAGTGGCAAGTAAGTAGTCTATTCCTGTATTGAGAGTTTATCAGAATTTCACGGATGTTCGGGGTTTTCCTATCTGTGGCAGCTGGGGCACGCAACTAGCCAGAAGATAACGCAGGTATATATGTCTGCATCTGAAAGCCTCTAACATAGGTGGATATAGCTGAGCGTTATTATTTTGAATTTTTCCCTAGCACATAATTTTTCGGGATATTGATGTGATTGTAACAACAGTTTCTAAGTTTCTCCCACAAAAAAATCATAGTCAAATAATAAGTGAATGTTATTCATCAATAGTTAAGACAATGTTACAGCACTATCAGCAACTTCACAACCACATCCAGCAAGTCCTTCCCGTGTCCGCTGTCATGTTGTTACAGAAACACCCTATCCATGTATTGCTGCTTAGTGAGCTCTGAAAGAAAGAACAATCAGTTTGGGTAATAAAAACGACATACAAAAGGCAGAAGCTGTGATTTATTTTGGGAGATTGAGTAGAGTGGCAAGCAGCACTTTAAAGGTCACTTGTCTCAAATAAACCTTATCTCTCTCAAATTTAAGGAGATATTGCAGTGTTTCCTTGCATTTAACCTGCACTAAATGTCTTTTACAAGAACATATTGCAGAGTCCAGCAGGAGCATCATACATGCCCACGTGCTTTATAGGTGATGGAAATGAATGGGAGTGCTGGCAGGGGGAATGAAGATCCGTTGTAAGTGATTAATGAGTTGATAAGAAATACTCCTTTGGGAAGGCTGGTGGTGTTGTGAGTTGGTCTTCAATGCGTATTTGTGAAAATGGTGTACAAAGTACACACGCAATGTCTTGTTCCAGCAGTACTTCTCAACCTAGGTGTATAGAACAGCCTTCATCTCAAGAATCTCAAAATTTAAACTAAATTAGGGAAGAAAAACTGTCTGTGGCAGCGTGTATCTGTGTGTGTGTCACTGTCTTTGAGCCAGAATGGGCTTCAATAGCACCAGTTTTTGGCAGAGAGCAGGCATCTGCCCTTGCTCTCCTGGGAGATCCTGCAGAATCAGTTCTGCTCATTCTTTTCCTGGAGCCGTTTTGAAAATTTGAAAATCATTATGAATCTGGATAGCAGGGAGCTTAAATTAGGTTTCCTTGTGTCTGTATTATCACAGTCAGCGTGGCACTTGCTCATGGATGGAAAGAAAACTGACTGAAGCTGAACTCTGTTGGAATAGGGAGGTTATAAAGATGGGGACAGGCTGAGGAGTTTGCAGCAAAACTGTGGTCTTGTTAAGCTAGGGGTAATGAATCTATATGGCTTGATTTGTTCCGTAATTTACTTAAACTCCTGGATTTTTCAGTTACACTGACCTGCAGCGTATCAGTGACGGCCAGCAGCCCTGCCTGGTAATTTGCTAGCAAGTACTGGGCTGCTGCTGGATGTCGTCCTCCCTGGCAAATGATGCACTGACCTTGCTCGTACGTGCCTTTATATCTTTTCGCATGGACGACGGCACTGCGGTGCGTTTGCAGAGGAGCCTGCTGACGTGTGAAACTCCAGGGAGCAGAGGAGCAGTGTCACCCTGCGGCACAGGCTGCCCCGGCTGCCCCGGCTGCTGCTCGCTGCTGCTGAACGCTGTAGCGCAGGGAGCAGATGGGGAGAGCCAGGGAAACAACCTCCATCAGCACCGTGGTCGGCATCGTTGAAATATCAGTGGCTTAACTAATGTCCAAATCGCCGCAGGCTTTAAGGAAGATAATGCAACACTTTCTGCCTCGTGTCCATTAGTAGGTAGATAGTGCTTTTCTGTACATGGCACAAGAATACTTCTACAGTACACATTTATTTGGCTTTTAAAAGTAACTAGCTAGTGCTCCAGAATTAAATCTCAACTTCCCTCCTTCACTTTTATACTTTTTTGTTGTTGTGGAAGAGGTCACATCTTGATGTACGCCAGCTCTTACCTTTTGGCCACTGGATTGAATTTTGTCAGCTGAGTGGTTTGACCTTTTGGCTGTTCTCAAATCCTGAAAATAGATTTTTCAGCCTGTAAAACTTTTTGTTGGCTAAACATAGGCTTCAAAGTGTTGCGTTTCCTTCGTATTTGGATCAAGTTCACTATTTTATGCCTACTGCTTGAAGGTTTTTTTTTATGACCGTTTTTTGAGAGTTTAGCAATCTTTTGCTTTTCAGACTTTCTCCTTTTCCAAATACATGTGAACATAGATATTAATTTAGAGGTTGGATATTTTATATTTTCTTTTTCTAAGTAAAATATAAACAAAACTAGAATAATGTAAATATTAGGATAGTGAAAAATGCTAATTTCATTTCCCAGAGTTATTTTGCAGGTAATGATCTGTGCTGGTTTTTAGAGCCCGTAGGACGGTCGGGTTTGAGTAGCGATTGCCAACGAGAATGTCGTTGGGAATTACAGATGACACAACATCCCCCATATTCCTCATAACAATTTTGATAATCAAAATTATGTTACATGTTTCAGAGGTCCTCTCAACTTTTTTTTTTTCCTGGGGGTGGGGGAGGTTTGGAGAGACCTACAGTGCTACTTACGGTTTCAGAAAATATGTAAAGAAGTATTTGGTAAAGTGCTTCTCCTGTGTGTTCTTCAAAAAAAGGACATAAAAACGTGATTCCAAATGAAGATCTGGTTTCCATTTCTCATAAGTTTAGTCAGTATTTATAAAGTTGATATTGGATCAACAACATTTGTACAATACTAGCTTTTAATTCTTAGGACTGAATATCTAGTGGGTGACACAACTGTGTGGAATTTTGTTTGTTTTACAGAAGAAACCTTTTCATTTTGGTCATGATACTTGATGCTGTCAGAGTAGTTTTGGACTTTTTTTTCTGTATCAGAATTTTTTTTAAAAGAATAGTATATAATTGTCATTTATAAATGGTAAGAGTATAGACATTTTATCATAGAATCTGATTCTGTGATACAATGTTCTTTCCATATAGTTGAGTGTAAATTTAAAAAATACTAGAAATATATGTGGCAGAAAGTAAATGAGCAGCTGAATTAAAGGACTGGTTATTTTATAGTATTCCATGTGGCTTTGATTCTTCAAAAGCCTACTACTGACTTCTTTTTTCAATAGAAAGAACATGCTTGTGGTCTTCAATCATGCACCAAAATTTATATATCTATATACGTGTGTTCTTTTACAGATCGATTTAATAGCATAGAAGTACTATTGTACATACATGTACCAAGAATGCATAATATTCTTTCTGTGTACTCATTTTCTTAAAGAAAATGCAAAGCATTTTATGGACCAAAACTTTTGTTTAGATTACATTACTTTTTGTTCTGTGTTGATGTTTTCTAAAGGTTATTCTTGAACTAAGACATGAATTGAATTTATAAACAGGAATCCTGCTTGATATTGGATTGCAACATAAGCTAATGTTTAAGACTGTGGGCTATTTGGCCGGCATCATCTATTTGTCATCTTATGAACTCTTAATCCTGTTGTTGTATATCAGTTAGCTGTAAAGAGGCTAGACCTTTGTTTTATAGAAAGGTGCATCATTTTCTGTCAGTCATATAAAATTTGAATGTGATAGGGCAAACTTAGTCTAAATCAGCTTTTTCTCAAAATGTACATCAAGTTACAGGTGGATATTCAAATGTGTAACAAAAGTTTTATGAATAATTTTGTCTTCAGATCAGACTTACACATCTTCTTTTCCTTTCTGTTTCCTGCCTTTCCCCAAATCCATTTTACTTACAGCTTCCAGCTGATCTTACCAAGATGCATCTTACCGACAATCCTCACCCTCAGGTGACTCATGTCCCTTCAAGCCAGTCGGGATGTAGCATTGCCAGTGATTCTGGGAGCAGCAGCCTATCTGATATTTATCAGGTAAAACTGCATTTGTTTCTTATTTTTCCTTCCTTGATGTTGAACATTGTATAAACAGAAACAGTGGCCCTTTATCCAAGACTTGCCCTCTTGATGCTTCGACGTATCGCTGTGTTGCTTGTGTGACTTGCCACCTCCACAGCCACATAGAAGAGAAACAAACTTCTTGTAAAGCTCTTTTTGTTGCTTTTCACATCTTTATATACCAAAAAGTGTGCTGTGCCTTTTAAAAGTCACATTTGATGATTTATGGGATCATTTTCCTTCTTTCTGAAATGGAACAAATTTCATGAAATCATTCTTGTGTTTCACATACCTTCCTTGATTATTTGTATTTATTGTTAATAACAGATGTTCTGTTCTGCAAACAAAAGCATGGTAATAAATGCACTCTCTGCACTAATTGACTGTGGAAATTCTAGTGTTGCTTGCTGAGAATAGAAGTTGTCTGAAATCCAGAGATAGCGTTCATTTGTTTAGAGATAATATACTTATTAAGTTACCTGACTCCAATTGCAGAGCTGGTTTCATGGGGTTTTTTTGTTCTGGTTGACGAGGGTGCTCATCTTGGGTTTGTCTTGATCAGTAATTTCACAGTTTTTCCACTTTCAAGTTGAAATCTGACGACAATACTGAGTATGTAGCAACTGTTGAGCACGATGTAGGTGTGACTTGATTTTAGACACCTGTTCCCTTTTGGGTCCTGTCCGGGTACTATTTCTATACTGGAAACAGATTAGTGATACATCTATTTACAGCAAAGTATTGCTAGGTAACTTTAAAAATAAGGCATTAAAAGCAAAAATCCTTTTAGAACATTAAGTGCCTCTGTGCATTTTTGTCCTATTTAATCTATTACCTTACTACTTTAGATTTGCTTGCTGCCAGCTAGGTCAGGAGTAGCTTGCATCCCTGAGAGTCTTTTCAAAATGCTCTGTGGATTCTCTGATTTCTGAGAGGCAGTGCTGGAAGATGTTGTTCTGTATCTTGTGGGTTTTTTTTTTTTGTTTTGTTTTGTTTTTTTGTTTTGTTTTTTTTTTTTTTAATTTTCGGAGTCAACAGAATTGATTAAATTAGTCAGAGTCACCAGAACTAGTCTGTGGATTGTACCTTAACATCTTATATATTAGAATGCTGATGGACGGTTTTCCTGACCGTCGTCTGCCTGCCTGTCTACCTGAGTAGTTTGGAGAGGTTGCTCTAGTGAAAAGCACTTAAAATATATTATTGATAATGAAAATATCATTCTAGTAATGATAGCTAATAATGATATGAATACTCTATCATGTGTGGTTAATTGCATTTGAAATGCCTTATGTCTACTCTTCAGAAAATGCCAAAAGACCATAATTGCTAAACAAATAAGAATTATATAAGTAAAAGAAATAATGGATTAGCATATTTATATGCACTGTGGCAAATAAACAGTGGAATATATTTTTGTACCCTAAGGAATTATTAATTTATTAATGTGAAAATGACTGCAGGTTTTTTATTAATTTTGAGGAGTGAGGACCTTTCAGGTAGGAATCTCCTTCTCAGTGACATTAGCCCATCTGTTTTTGCATCCTGCAGGGAACATGGACAGTGTAAATTTTGCTGAGAATTTCTAGCCAGCCAGGGTGATGTCTGAGGTGGGTTACCACTGTTAGACTCATGTGAGATCTTCAAAGATAGTATTACAGCAATGTATGATCATAGCTACGGTGTCATTAATCCTGAAAGATAGCAGTGGAGAATCAAGCATTTGATAAACTGTGGGTGAAGATAAGATGTGCAACAGGCATGTCGTGAGGGGAAAGAAAAACCCAACAACCCACTGTTTGGGTTTTTTTGGTTTTGTTTTTTTTTCCCTTCTTATTTTTTTAGTGAATTTTTCGTATCTTGTTCTCGTATGCGTAATGTGCAAATAGTAACCTGTCAAAAGATGCTGGGTATTTTATGGGCTTTATTGCAGTAGCTGTAACAGTTTTGGAGAAATCTCTTACTGTTTGTCACCCAGTTATAAGTGCATGGATAAATACTGTGTAATAATGTCATGGCACAGAATTTAACATAGCATTATATTGCAGTGACACATCAATATAGACAGATTTTGAAATCAGAAAGAAAAAGAAAAGTGTTTCCGCCAATATTCATCATGATATTATGAAGGCAGAGAATCTCTTTGATATGCAATAAACCTACATTTTGAATATAATGTATTGGCTCTGTAGCTGGAAGCATTTTTGGTACATTAAAATACAGCTTTTCATAAATAATGCTTTGCATTTGCAGTCAGCTTCATATCTATTACATGCCAAACTCTCTAGGAGTATCATTAATGTCAGCAGAGGAAGAGCATTTTTGAATAGTTTTGATTAATGTAGCCTTGGAATGACCTTTTGAATTAATGGTATCTTAACATTAATTGTAGTGCAAATGTAATTCTAGAATAGGAAAATATGATTAGAATAGTAGAACCAAAGAACGAAACAATTTTTTATTAAGATTTGGAAAGGGTTTCCGTTCATCTGTGTACACTATATTCATTGATAGTGTTGAAATGAGGTTTCACTTGTTCCAGCTGCTTCTCAGTCCAGGATGTTAAACAGGAAATGATGAACATAAAGCTTAAGGTGAGGTCAGCAGAAAAGGAGTCCTGCCTGTAAGCACTGCTGTGAACATATTGTAGCAAACCCTCAGTTAATTGCAGCAACTTATGAAAATAAATGTTTGAAGATATTTTTCTCCCTTCTCTTGCACTGTTACTGCTCCCTGTTGGAGCTTTCAGTCTTTATGTGGTAAAATGTCCAAACGTATGTATTGCAAAGTCCAACTTGCTTGGAATACTGCAGAGCAGTTGTTTTTTTTGTCAGATTGTAGACTTTTTTTTTTTTAAAATATAGGGGGGGAAAAGGTTATTCCCTCCAATTTTTTAAAAAACTTCTTAAATTTGCTTGAGTGTTTTTTTTTTTTTTTAATTTTTTCTTTTAGTTTTTTCATTCAATCCATTTCTGACAGTATGCTTAGTTTCAGAGCTATGGTGTTTAGACAGAAGTAGAGGAAGCTGTGTGGTTATGCATACAGAAGTTGAAATGCGGGATTATAACTTCTGCAAACAGCTGCTTTGACCTGTAATGGATATCCTCAAGGAAAATTAATCCAACAAGTATTACAGAGTGAAAACATCGTTCTTTGCCCTTTCACGGGGCGAGCTTTAAGGTGGCCAGCCGTGGTAACATTGGTAATCTAGATCATATCTGTAGATGTAGGTGGGTAGGGTCTCACTTCTGCTATAAGGAATTAGTTGCCTGTATCAATAGCTTGCAATGCTGTTCTCTTAATGACCAACAAATTTGCATCTATTTTTTCTTATCTCTTTAGTTTTGTCAGTGGTGTGCTTAAAGTTTCTCTCTCTCTTTCTCTTTTTAAAAAAATCTTTCATTTATCACTTTGGCAGTATATATTATTTGTGGGCAGCAACATTATTGCCCAGCAATAATTCCAGTTGTGGTTAAGGATTTGATATTAAAATGGGTTATCTATAAAATATGCATCAGGGAGTGGGCCTTCCTGAGGGTTTTTCTATCTATTCTGAAAAAAGACCTGGACATTATTCCCCTGACAGAATTGACATGAGGGGAGGGGATAAAAAACCCTCGCTCTGAATAGCAGGTTGCATCAGGAGTCATGAGTACCAAAATACATTATCCTATGGAGTTATTCCTGCACAGGAAATCTTTTACATGAGGCATATTTAATACTTTTTTTCTTCTGGAATATGTATCATTATCACCAAAAGGTTGCAAGGGCTAGTTCTTACGTCTTTGGCTTCCAAAGCGTAGACCAGTGTACAAGACATCTCCATGATCAACATTTGGCAAAAGTAGCTGAAACATGTTAATTGGCAAAATTTGCAGTGCTATATATAGAGTAATAATAGTGTGATTTTAAAATAGCAAACAAATGTTTTGACAGTAAACTGGTGTTGACTTCCCAGATGATCTATGTGACACGCACTATTTGAGTCTGTTCCCGCTGTCTGCTCAATAGATTTTCTGGCCCTATAGACCCAATCCTGAAAATCCGTATTTGTGTAAGATTTGAGGATTGCAGCTTCTGGTTTCATTTTGTAAATTAGTAGTTCATAAATGTTTCCGTTAAGAATGATTCTGATATTTGATAATGGAAACAGCTGGGGCATCATGCTTGGGAAGAGCAGCTACTTCTGCAGACAGCTTTACGAGCAAAATCCTTCCTGTTCCTTCCAGCACTGCCTGACCTGCCAACGTTTTGTCAACCATCTGCACATAATCTTTGAAACACGGTTTGAGGACCATCTCTTATTTCATAGCTCGATCAAATTCTAACTTACTAATCAAGAAAAGAGAAGATTTTTTTATTGTCCTATGTAGGATATAAAATGAAAATTTTAAAGAATCAATTTTCTGTAAAACCTATAGCCTCAGCTTTGTTGTCTTAGCTTGAGGTTATCAAAGTGGGAATTAGTACTGTAGTCTGTCTTACGCTGCCTGGAAAAGTTTATATACATTGTGGCTATTTAGATGAAGAAATGCTAGAATAGTCCTTGAATAAAATGCTGTACTGATCATGTGCTGCTGAGACTCTCCAAGCACAATTTGCACTTGGGCTTAATTCCAAAACTGTTAATGTGAGCTACATAAGCCAATAAAGTGATGTAATGTAAAACAGATTTAACCCTATATATATTGTTACCCTTCTCTGAAAGAATTATTTGTTAAATCATTTAAGCCATATTTATTAGGTTTGGCTAATTACTGAAATGAGGACAAGCTCAAAGGTGTCCAAGGTTATATCTAAAACCCAGTATTTTTCTGTCTAGTGAAAGAAGGAAATGCTGCTCATCTGTCAATGTGCTGGGGCTTGCATTAGCCGATCAACATGGAGCGTGTAGGAAGATGGAGGCAGTGTGCAGTCTGCTGTGATTAAATCACTTAAAACGAGTGTTGTTTTTTATGAGGCAAGGAAGGCAGGAGACCAGCGTGGCTGAGTAAGGACCTCCTGGTCAAACTAAAGTGCAAGAAGGAAATGCATACAGTGGAACCAGGGACATGTATCCTGGGAGGAATATAGGGACACTGCCTGGACGTGTAGCGTTGGGATCAGGAAAGATAAGGTATGGTTGGAGCTGGATTTGGCAAGGGATGTGAAGAATAACAAGAAGGGCTTCTATAGGTACATTGGTCAGAAAAAGAAGATTAAAGAAAATATACTCTCCTCCCCCCATAAATAAGACAGGAGAACTAGTGACATGAAGAAGGCTGAGGTACTCAACAATTCTTTTGCCTCAGTTCTCACTGGTAGTCACTCTTCTCACATCTCTCAAGTCCCTGAATCTCAAGGCGGGGACTGGGGGAATGAATTCCTTCCCATGGTAAGAGAAGATCAGGTTTGAGACGACTTGAGGAACCCGAACGTACACAAGTCCATGGGACCCAACGAGATGCATCCCAGGGTCCTGAGGCAGTTGGCTGATGTAGTTGCTAAGGCACTCTCCATCTTACTTGAAAAGTCATGGCAGTCAGGTGAAGTCCTCAGTGACTGGCGAAAAGGGAGTAAGACTCTGGGGACACCTTACTGCAGCCTTTCAGTACTTATAGGGGGCTTATAAGAAAGGCTTTTGCCAGGGCCTGCAGTGACAGGACAAGGGGCAATGGTTTTAAACTGAAAAAGGGTAGATTTAGCTTGGATATAAGGAAGCAATTTTTTATGATGAGGGTCCTGAGACACTGGAACAGGTTGCCCAGAGAAATTGTGGCTGCCCCGACACTGGAAGTGTTCAAAGGCAGGTTGGGCAGGACCCCATCCTTTATTTTGGAGATTTTGTGAACATGCAGAGTATTTGATGCATTAGTTTGTCATCAGTGTTTTTGTGAAATCTCAAGGATTTCTTTTAAAGTGAAAGTGGATACTGTAAATGTGTTCATTTAAAAAAATAAACTCTGTTTTCTGCAAGTCTCTACATAATTGCCTTATGCTTCTCAGTGACACATCTTGTCCAAATTCTTGAATTTGAACAGAAAAATGATTTGCATGCTGGTTTAAACTAAAAAAAAAAAAAAAAAGTGATTGAGCAACTACTCTGTTGAAATTGAAAACTTGAAACTACGTTATGTTTTTTTTTGACTTCCATCTGTTTAGAAAGTTATTTTCATGCAATTACATCATTTAAACTTTACATAAGGAATTATTGCAAATGATTCCTCTGTGATTCTGCTTTTTGTTGCCAGTATTGCATTCTCCTTCACTGTTGCCTCACGTGTCTGCTCAGTGGGATGTCTATATTGCCATCTATTGATGACAGTAGAAATGTGTCTACAGGCATTGGGTAACCAATGGTGTTACTGAATTATATTATTAATTCAGTAATAATACAGACTCTCAAATTGTGAAAAAACATTTTATTTACATGAATTCGCAAGAAAGAGTAAATGCTATAAAATGAGAATCAGCCAACAGAGGAAATAACAGTCATCCTTATCTCTCCCCCCGTCCCCCACTCCCAATTTATATACTCCACCTGACATACTTGCTCTATGCCAGGATTAAAATCCATGTTATAATTCCAAAATTAAAAATGAGTTCAAATCCCTTTCATTTTAGCCACTCAGTGTGCTTTGTTTTTTCCTGTGTCACATGGTTAATACTGATGGGTTTATGTTGCCTGTAGTTCAATGGGGGTGGGGAGGGATACAAGTAAAGACAGAGAACAAATGTCCCAGTATGTTGATCTCTTGTTTTCAGAACTTGTGATCATAACTCCTGTAGCATGGTGCAGTTTTATGCCAGTGGTATGTATTTGTACTATCCTGTAACTATAGATTTCAGTGTAACATGTTTTTTTCAGTGTTCAGAAAGGGAGCTATTACAATTTCTGGTTCGAATTGTTGGTCACGGAATTTCTTTTGTTGTATTAGCTACCTAAGATAAGACCATAAATCATTAAACTGAAGACATTGATCTCTTTGTCTGATGAATGTTTTCTTTGTAGGCTACAGAAAGTGAGATGGGAGACGTTGATTTAACAGGTCTTCCAGAAGCACCTGTAGACTCTGAAGATGAAGAAGAAGAAGAGGATGAAGATATTGACAGAACTTCAGATCCGCTTCTAGGGCGAGATGTTGTACGAGAGTGCCTTGAGAAAGAGCCTGCAGATAAAACTGATGATGATATTGGTGAGGAGGAAAAAAAAAAACCCTTTATGTAAAACTATATCATATAACATCTGTAAGAGAAGCATATCTGAAAACTGTTCAATGAGTTAATGTTAAATATATATCCTCATAATTATGAACGATGCCTTCCAGAGATCACTTTGCTCTAGTGATACTGTTAATTGAATGATTTCTTCACTTACTATCTGAGAGAGTATTTGTTCTGAGAAACTAAGTATTTTAAAAAACAGTCTTTGAGATGCTTAAGGTGTTAAGTATTACAGTCATTGTATGTGTTGATATAAGGGAGGGATAGGTAGCAAGGTAATTTTGACTGCCTGAAACTGTTGAATTAGTTATTAAATGTCAAAGAGAATATACTATTACTGCAGTATAGATTTATGTAACTGTAAACTGGAAAACCTTTAAGATTAAAATAATTTACTGCAGTGTTTAACTAGAAATTGACATTAGTTTAATAGTAAAAATTGCGTTACGCTTTATACTTCAGATTACTTCTCTAAACACTGGAAAGTCATTTCCTGCTCCTATCAAGCTTATAATTACTGTACTGTAAGGGTATTTTTAATTTTTCTAAATGTTTGAAGCTGAAGTGCTTTTTACACTCTAGCCGGACTGCTGCCGTAAGAGTCAATCAGAACACGATGCAGACTGTAGAGCCGAGTTCCGGCTGTTGATGACAAAATGCATACTGGGCTCATTTAGCTGCAGGCACTAATGGGGATTGTAACACCACTGAGCAATTTTTCCATGAATTTAACTGAGATTTAATATACCTGTGGAGGGTAAGGTATCTAAGGAACCCCTGGGTCTTGCAGTCTTCATATCAATGTTTCCTTTGTCTAACAGAGCAATTATTGGAATTTATGCATCAACTCCCCGCCTTTGCAAACATGACTATGTCTGTGAGAAGAGAACTTTGCTCAGTGATGATATTTGAAGTAGTAGAGCAAGCAGGAGCCATCATACTTGAAGATGGACAAGAAGTAAGTTACTGCTTACGACACAATTTGAGTGCTATAGGCAGTAGGTCATCAAGGGCATCTGGGGGCGAAGGGCTGGAAAATCTGTTTCCCATCTCTGTACCTCTCCCGCACCTGAAAGTTAGAGAATTCTTCTCTCATGGTGACCCATGTCCAAAATCCCAAAATCTTAGCCCATCCCTTTGGGAGATTCTGCTTGTGTATTACTGTCTTTTTTAAGACTTCAGTGTGGCCAAGTATAGACATAAACCAGCATTCAGTATGTTGTTATCAGGTAAGTGCTAACATCTGGAGGAGTTTATTTCAAAGACTATTTGTGGCACAGAAGAGTGCATCATTTCTATTGGTAAAATAACGCTCTTCTAATAATGTGGTTTTTTTTAAATACTGGCATGGAGAGGTACCCTTGCCCAACAATGTAGGTATTATAAATGTCTAAATTAGGAGTGGTTTCCATACATATTCAGTGGGAGGAAAAAGATGTTCAAATTAGTCAGTGATCAGGCTCCCAACGTAAGTGCTCTGAATCACTATTTTGAAATCTCTTTGTCCTTGGATCAAGACATTTGGAATGGCCATAGCAGGTCATCCCTCCAAGAGGACTAGGTAGACTCTCATCTCTGGTAGTGACCAAATGGGTACCCAGGGGAAGAGTGTTCATTCTCACTAAACAGTATAAATATATTGTAGCAATTAGCCCACTGATTAAAAAAGCAATCTATTCATCAGCATTCCTCCCAACTGAATTAGTTCTGAAATGAATGAAGAATGCTGAAAAGCATTCTTGTTTCAGTCATCTTTATTGCTTGCCTTACAGTGCACATTTTTAGTGAATTAAATGTTGCGAAGCTGTTGTGACAACAAACTGGAGACTGCAAGAATAAGCCTTTCTGAGATAAGAGCATTGGAATAGCTTATAAAAGGTGTTGAATTAGCTTCACTTCTTAAATTTGTTTTTTACTTCCTCTAGCTCGATTCTTGGTATGTTATTTTAAATGGCACAGTGGAAATCAGCTATCCTGATGGGAAGAGTGAGAGTCTCTGTATGGGAAATAGTTTTGGGATTACCCCCTCTCTGGACAAACAGTACATGAACGGAGTGGTCAGAACCAAAGTAGACGATTGTCAGGTAAAATTACAATTCTATACAACCACCTTGTATTTTTAAGCATCTAATAAAAGAAAACAGACTGCTTTCATCTTAAGGCATGAACCTTATTCCAGGAGCAGAAAAAAGGAGGTTGGTATTTTATGGGTCAAGGGCTCTGCTGATATTGAGTTAATTGTACGCTCTTTAGTAGCTGGGATTTATTTCATGCTGCTGTTATATGAGAAACAGGAACTTTGCTTCGTGCTGAAATGTAAGCTTAGTCCACCCCAGTCATGCTGGGTGTGCGATTGACATGCAGTAAGAACAGATAAGTAGAAAATACCCATTTCCACTTCTTACAGGCTTTGTCCTCTGTATGTTTATCCATTCAGACAACCTTTTGGAGATGTAAGAAGGTGACCAGTTCTATTTGTCTTCTATTTCTAACTTTCTCCCTCGTGTGGTTGGGCAGAACAGAGTGGGGTTGGAATCAAATGCTGTGCTATTGTGATTGTGTTGAAGCAGCCCAGAGATGGGGATACATTCATGTTTTGGGTATTAATTAACAATCCCATCTTGTTTGGGTGCAGTTTGTGTGTATAGCCCAGCAAGACTACTGGAGGATTCTGAACCACGTGGAAAAAAACACTCATAAAGTGGAGGAAGAAGGAGAAATTGTTATGGTAAAGGAGCACAGGGAGCTGGATCGCAGTGGAACCAGAAAAGGACACATAGTTATCAAGGTGAATTTCTTTCTATGCTTTCCATTAATCTATTAAACCTTTATTTATTAATAAATAAATACAATTTAGGTTTGATTCTAGAACATAGACTCAGTTTTGTCTGTCTCAGCTCAAAAAAATTGATTGGAAGGAATTTATATTATTTTACCAATTTACTTCCATCTCCTTTGTGATAAGGTTAGACTTCTTCAGCACATATGTTGAGTTTTGTATTGGGAGCACCCTTTGGGCATCTTTATGTATTGACGAACTTAAACTGTGTATTAAAAATAAAATTAAGGGAAGTTACTAATTGTTTTAGCCAGGTATTACCTATGCAAAACATTTGGGCTGAGAGAAGCATGAAGATTTGATTTAAACATGTTAGTGTGTTTTCTCCTGAGTTTGCCATAACTGAAATTTGAAAAGGGAGTATACTGTTCACGTGGTTTTATGTTAAGATACTCTCTAGAGGGGAGGTAGTGACGAGAGATATCAGTTATTTTTTGCATTTAATTTTTAAGGCAACACCTGAGCGACTCATCATGCATTTAATAGAAGAACATTCTATTGTGGATCCAACCTACATTGAAGATTTCCTTTTAACATACAGAACATTTCTAACAAGCCCTCTGGAAGTTGGAAATAAACTCTTGGAATGGTTCACAGTGGACAGCCTCAGGGATAAGGTTGGTTTGAGTCTAAGAGATTAGTATTTCTGGTGAAAATATCTCCAAATTTATTCCTTTTTGTGTTGCTGATAAACTAGGATTATGCTCAAGCTATTTTATATGAACTATTTTAAAGCAAAGTATTTTTCACTAGTATCAAGAAAGGATTCTCCAGTGTGTTGTATTTGTATAGTGTACTACCCTAAATTAGGTATGACACTGCCTCTCTCCTAGAGAATGATAAATACTGTTTTCTGTTTAATTTAAAGATGTAAATGCCAATCTCTGAAATCCTTTTTCACCAGAAATGCAGGGAAATTGTGTTCGTGATCTCTTGGACATACCATCTTTCTTTTCACAATAGCATTGTGCTTGTCTTCCATAATTTTCTACTGTAGAGCTTTTCAGTGTATTGAGCACATTTTGTTTGAGCAGCTTATTAAAAACTCTGTGCTTAAAATAAACTCTGCTCAAGACAGGTGCAGTTGATAAAAATGCTTCCATAAATAGAATGAGGCTCGACTCTATGTAACTGTATCACATACACATGAAAAATGTTCATAGTCTGGAACTTGTACCCATGCCCAATTTGTTGAAAATTATGGCAGTAAAATTCTTAGCCAGTAGTTTTATGTGTTCTAGCTTTGATCTGAAGGAAACCCAACAGACTATCAAAACGCTGTACTTCTTGTGTAGGAAATTGTTTGGGGTCATTTGCTGTGGTTACTGCTTCTCTTCTTACCTTTTTCCATGCTGTTCATTTGGCAACTGCTGTTTTTTAAGAAAAGGAAGGTAAAAGAAAACTGTCTCAGCAAATAAAAGAGGAAATTGTTTATTTTTAGAAGAGAAACTGCTATGGATTAACCTTTTTTTATAACATAGATGGATAAAATAGTTGTCAGACTGACTTTATAATGAATGGTAGTAACTCTGTAGCATGTACAAAAGCAACCTGAAGATTTAACTAAAAGTTCTTAAAAGAAAACTTTCTATTATCACAACGTATTTCCTAAACTTTCTTTAAGGAGAACGTTAGGATGCTTTAAAAAGATGTTTTATAAACAACATAAGGAAGGGTTACCTGAAGATGGATTTGTGCACCAGTAAGTACCGGGTGATGTAGCCAATTAGGCACAAAAATGTTTGGTTTTTTAATTTTCATTTGTTTCCACAAATAAAGGAAAAGAGAAGATGATTTCAAGTGTAAATGTCTTCTGCTTCCATTTGTTAACAGATGCAGTAGTCTGTCATATGTTATTCTGCCATGTCCATGTATTCTTCTTTGCTTATAGATTAAAGTTTATAGGGGGAGAATAATAGGTACCTTTATATATACATAATTTTTTTTTTTCACAGGTTACCAGAGTGGTCTTACTGTGGGTGAACAATCATTTTAATGACTTTGAAGGAGATCCTGCTATGACTCGATTTCTGGAAGAATTTGAAAAGAACTTGGAAGATACGGTAGGAGCAAAATCATACTTTCTAATGTTACACACTTTCATTTTCCAGTGTGTTACCAGTGACTAACACATTGTAATCTATGAGTCTTAACAGTCAATAGATGGCTTTTCACATGGACATATTTGTTCTTAAATATATTTTTAGATATAAAGCCCATATAAAATAGTACGTATGGCACTCATTTATGTGTGTTTGCATTACTGTAAAAGAGGACAAGGTTTATTTAGTAAGACTTGGATGCATGGCATCATAAGTCCTTTTTCTGGCACCTGGGGTTTTTTCCACAACTGTTTTTCCATTTCTAGTAAAAGAAACACTGCACTCCATTTTGTGTCTTCTGTGTTACAGAAAATGAAAGGACATCTCAGATTGCTGAATATTGCCTGTGCTGCCAAAGCAAAATGGAGACAAATTACCCTGCAAAAACCTTCTAGAGATTCGCCACTGTTTTTCAGCCTCCTTGGAGGAAGTGACAAGGGTTTTGGTATTTTTGTAGAGACTGTGGAAATGGGCAGTAAAGCAGCAGAAGCTGGACTCAAGCGTGGTGATCAGGTAAAAAGAATAAAGTTCATTTAAAATGTCCATTTCGTATTTTATTAAAAAAAATTCTGGTTCAACCAACTGTAGTGTTCCCAACAAAAAGAATATGCTGTTTACTAAAATACTGACTGGCTAGTATTCTATTGTGAATGCCACAGTTCGGCTTCAGTTTACATGTGTTAAATGGGTTTCTATTAAATAGTTCTCAGAATATTTAAAATATTTAAATAATTCAAAAACAGAATGGGAAGAGAAACCAAATTGTGGTTATTTTAGGAGACTTTCCGTTTGGAGATACGGTTAAGTTGAAGCCATCAGATTGTTTTGTTGGATTGATTCCCACCTAGTGTAAATCATCCCAGTTTACTGAGGCTGGTGGAGCAATGACAATTTACACCAGGTGAAGATCTGGCCTTTGATTGTAACACCTGTTTTGCAGTTTGTGATCCACCATTTTTGATTCAGGTGCAATTCCTAATGGCAAGAATGTCATGTTATCACAGAAGATAAATTTGGTTAAAGTGTTTGGCAGGTAGAAATGGGAGGTCCTGGCTTGTTAACAAGATATAACTTCACTGACATGATCAAATTAGTTACCTTACAAGGAATATTTTCATGCTACCACTGCTATAAAGATAGTAACTTCTGGGAAGTTCTTACTGTGCCTTTGTATTTGTAACTCTGTCGTAAACAGTTGTTCTCCTAATAGTTCAATTTTTATTTCTTCTTAAAGATAATGGAAGTAAATGGACAGAATTTTGAGAATATTACCTTTGTAAAAGCTCTGGAAATCTTAAGGAACAACACTCATCTCTCCATTACTGTAAAAACAAACATTTTTGGTGAGTAGACTTTATATATGATGTATTTTTGTGTATGTGAAGAAAAACTCTGGTCTTTCTGGCTTTAGAAGTGCAGTAAGATTCCACCTTTTTTTTCCTAACTTGCTCTAGGAGTGAAAAGTTGTGCAGAAGTCCCCTCGTTGTGCCTCCATTTGCTCGGATAAGTTCTGGTGTGCCAAGGGCTGCACGTTGAGTGGCACAAAGCCAGCATAGCCAGCTCTTTACTCCCTGAGAAATCCTCAAACGACTGTTTAAGCGGCTTTAGTGTCCCTTCATGCGATATGGCTGAAACAGAGCCAAGGGATCTGGGCCAAAATATTTTTGCCAAGAAACAGCAAAAATGTAAAACTGGGCTTTTGTAAAACTTTTTATAATGGCTGTAAGAACGATAGGATAAATTGCCTTTATATCTAAAATTGAAGAGGGGATATAAAAAGCGGTATGACATATAAATGTTGGCTTTTAATTGTCAATGTGAATATAAACACATAAATACCTCTTTAAAATCTCAGTCAAACCATCTGTTCTTTTTCCATAATCCTGTTCAGGCAACAGAATAACCATAGCTACAGAAAGAACGAGACTGTGCACAAGATAGCTCCTTCCTCTGTAGTTGTATCTGAGACCTGGTGGTTTCCTTTTCTCAGTTTCTTCCTCCAGTTAGCTGCCCTTGTTCACTATTGATTTTCTTTTCAATTATTATTTTCTGTTTATCACTGTGCAGGTAAAAAATTTCAAGATCCTAGCAGTTGCTTATAATAGGAAAACTATGATATAGTTGCCATCGCGGAAACATGGTGGGATGGCTTGCACAACTGGAGTGCTGCAATGGATGGCTATAAACTTTTCAAAAGGGATAGGCGAGGAAGGAGAGGCGGTGGGGTTGCCCTGTGTGTTGGGGAGCGTTTTGATTGTCTCGAGCTTAATGATGGTGGGTGTGAGTGTTTATGTGTAAGAATCATAGGGAAGGGCAACAAGGCAGTTATCATGGTGGGAGTCTGTTATAAACCACCCAACCAGGATGAAGAGGCAGGCGAAATATTCTATAAGCAGCTGGGAGAAGCCTCACAATCGCCAGCCCTGGTTCTTGTGGGGGACTTCAACTTCCCAGATGTCTGCTGGAAATACAGTACAGCAGAGAGGAAACAGTCGAGGAGGTTCCTGGAGTGTGTGGGGAAAAAAGCTCCAAAAAAGCCATAGTAACTGGCGGCCCAGACTAATGTGAAATGACATCAAATAAAGCATAACTGTAATTGAGGCAGTGATAAATTGTTAATTTATATTATAAATGTAAGCAACATACATTTATGAGTGGATTCGAACCTCTTCTCTTCCTGCTAGCTGATATAATTTCAGGGTGGTGTCCCTGATACATTTTAATGAATTCATGTCTTGAAGTATTTTTTCAACAGCGATACTTATTATCCTGTCTTTTTAATTGAGTGCTAAGTGCCTGGTGCTGACAACGAGCAATTCTTATATTTGAATCTATACTGTGAAGGCTTGTAGCCTTAAATTTTGTTGCCTAATAGAAATAGCAATTTGGCTGGGACTTTTTATACAGAAAGTCCTGGTTGTCTTGCTCGTAGGGACAATCTGAGAAATTTGCTCTGTGCCGTTCTGCATTCCCCACTATCACCATGTTTTCAACAGAAAAAACTGAATTTCTGACTTGAGTGATCTAAAAAGATTTAAAAAGATATTTAAAAGATCTTTTAAAAAAATGATTTGTATTGATAAACCAATTTGAACAATTTGTTTTCACCTCTTATATGTGGGAAGAAACACAAACATAAACACTATCTTTTCCATGGAATTATATCTTCGGGAATGTCAGTGTTGGTAATAGAGTGGCTTAGTTTGATAAACACAATAGGAAATTTGATGCAGGTTCTGTTCAGTAGTATTACTAAAAGCAAACAAAGACAGTTTTGGAAAATATCAGTCTGTCTTGCAGTTATTCTTAAGGAAGCATCTGCACTCCATTACCTGAAAGATGCAGACAAAAAAGTTAATAAATACATAGAGATGATTGCTGTGAACGCAATGTTTCCTTATTATCTATCTGGTAATGATAGACTAGTCTATTAAATTTGCTGTGATATGTGCTAATTTCAAAAGTAGTTAGGAGAACTGTGCTATGCATGTTTGATCGTTTTTATTGAACATTTAGGAGTTACTCTTTCTGCCAAGGTAACGAAAAGCAAAACTTGAACGGGAAAAGACCCACACCCTTAGAATCAAAATTAAAATGCAATGTATTGCCTGGTTTGTAACTCTTTGGTTCACTTTTTCTGCAGGAATGTGGGAAGCAAAAGGTTTGAGGGGAAAGAAGAATTCACTGTGAAGTTCTAAGTGTGCAAAGGTAAATCACAATGATTGTATCTTCTCTTGCAGTGTTTAAGGAGCTGCTCTGCAGGATAGGACAAGAGAAGAATGGAATTCCACATATCCCAAAAATTGCAGAAAAGAAAAACAACCGTTATTCCATCCCAGATATGCCTGGAGATGTGGAACAGATGTTTCCCCGTGAAAAAGGAAACAAGAAAATGAAAGCAAACACTGTATCTGGTGGGAGAAACAGAATCAGGAAAATTCTAGACAAGACCCGATTCAGCATCTTGCCTCCAAAACTGTTCAGGTTTGTCAGACTCTTCTGGTCAAAAAGTAATTGTTCCTTATTAAGTTGTGATATTTTAGTTGCTTAGCATCTTCAGTCATTACGTCCATGTTACTTACATTTTTTAAAAAACGCAGCAAATCTTACCCATAAATGCAGAACAAGACCAAAATACCTTCTCTCTCCTAGTGAACACTTTCAAATATCCTTTTCCTCTGTCCTTGTTTTGAAAGCCTGTCTACAACATGTAATTAAAACATCTGAGTGCCATTATTTTTATTAGTTTCTTTCGTCCCAAGATGAATATAAGGAGCTTAATGCACATAATTGAAACAAAATTGTTTTGCAGTGATGGTAGTGTGAGCCAGTCACAGGACGACAGCATTGTTGGGACTCGGCAGTGCAGACACAGCCTGGCCATCATGCCTATTCCGGGAACGCTCTCATCCAGTAGCCCTGACCTGTTGCAGCCTACGACAAGCATTCTGGATTTCTCTAATCCTTCAGGTAAGACAGCAGCATTAGCTTGATTTACAGGATGATTACAAGGTAGCTGGTTCAGGGGGAAAATTACATCTTTTACCAGCATCAAACATGCCGAGTGCAGTTACCTGTTTATCTTGTGGCCCTAATGGGTCCAAACTGGAGATTCGCTGAAAATCCAAACTGCCTGAACCTCTCTTGCCTGTTTTTTTGTAATGTGACACTTAGCTTGTTTTTACAAAGAAATGTATTTTGCCACCTCTGAGAGTCTTTGAATTACTGGAGTTTACCAGAGCTCTGGTGGAAGCAGATTGTCCTTGTCTGCACCTTTGTCTTTTGTCATCTCTTCCCAATGCCAGTACTCCTGCTGATTTCACTTGTCCATCCACCATCTTTGAATATATATTTCAAGCAGTATTATGGAGAGAATAGGACTGCCGTGGTACCAACATAGTGATATTAATGTTTAATGTTTTACAAACATTACATATATTCAACTGTATGTCTGAAAAACTGAAAAATGTTTTGAGATGTGTAGTCTATGCTTTCATTGCTGTTACTGTAGGAATACAGTTTATGGGGTGGCTGCAGGAGGCATTTGTTGTTATATGCAGCTGCCTGTAAACATGTCAAGTCAGAATCTCGTTTCCCTATTTCAAGTGTAAGTTCTGTGCAGAATTACATATTCTGTAAAGCGCCTAGTGGCTATGACTTATGTTTATGTAAACTTGCAGATTTCCCCTTTATAAGGGATGTACACAGAAATACCCTATCAAGTGCATAAATAACCATAGCAAATAAGTTTCTTTTTTGCTGCAAATCCAGGTTCTTGCTGTCTGCGTGAGAGCTACATACGTGTTCTCTTAAGAATCTTCATTTATTACTCTACAAGTTACTGCATAATACGGAATGTTGATAACTAGTCCTTCTTACCTTTAAATTTACTATGACAAATATGCTGTCATTTTTGAATGGCAGAGAAAATCAAAATATTTCTGACAGTGTACTACATACACTTGATAAGTTTTGTAAACATCTAAATCTTGATTTGGTGTTGACACAGTTTTTTTCTTTCTTTCCTGCCTGCAGCTGTTGGGTTTTACTGTAAGTATCCTGATGTATAGCATCCTGTAGACCTTAATATTGCATGGCTTGCCTGTTAAACTTAACACTTTCATATGTTGCATTGACATAGTTATTACTGTTAGGGCATTAGATAGTCCTGTGCCCTGTAATCTTCCCTTAAATAAAACAAATCCATAGGTTCTCTTCATCGGCACAGTGCTGTACTGAGGCTGAGACCTGCATTTTATTCCCATTTCTGTCACCAACACACTGAATGACTTTTGGCAGGTTACTTCGTTTCTCTGTGACCTTGCTTTAAAGGAATGAAGTTGCTTACATCCCTTTTATGGAAACTGAAGTTTTAGATGATAATGTGATTTGAGATTTAGTTTGTTCTTCTGTTGGACTCTGTATAACTAAAATTATGTGCATGCAAACTTGAAACGTGTTTTGTATTGTCAACATAAGCTGAATAATGCATAAGAAAATAATTTTTTTTACTGTTTACCTGCTTAAAAGCAAAGACCATGAAGACAGATATGTGTTTGTAATATAAGTTTCCCTCACCTGTCATAAGTTACACTAAGTTTTGGTTGTGTGGTGATTCTCGCCCCCCCTCCCCCCCCAAATTACATTTCAGTTTTTGGGTTTATACCTGGAGTGTGTTCTGATTTTTAGGTATGTTGATACCAAAGTATAGATGCCTGCCTCTTCGGTTGATTTATTATAATTTTTATGAGTGCAGGCATTTCCTGAATTGTTCAGTGTGTCATTTTCACCACTTTCAGTCTGAAATAAGTACATAATATTTATTTTTCGCTTTTATTGCCCCCATTCATGTATGCATGGAGCTTCTCAAATTCAACTAGTTCCCAACTGTTAATAAGACTATTCTGGTAATGTGATAATCATAATGAAACTGTTAGTAGAATTAGTTTTCAATCAGATTTTTTTTTTTAAAACCCTGTTTCCTCCCGTCTTCCAGTTTATTTACAGCTGATGTTGAGGCTTTCTTTTTTCCAATGGGTGGAAACTTTTCATGCTGGATCATAAATTACCTGCTTACTTTTTGCCCTGAAATTCCTGCTACTTGCCCCCATAACACCATTAAGTCCTGATGCAAGAAAGAGTAATGCCAAGGTCACTGCCGCATTAAAAGAGATCTTCATTTCTTCTTTAAACAGTGGATTTTGACAGAGAAAAATTAATGCATAGGCGATTGGGTAAGCCGCATGTAAAACTCAGTGCTCAGAGAGCTGCTGCTGGGAGGACCTCGATGCACAGCCCGGCAGGATGATTCGCCTGGCAGAAGCGCTGATTCCCCTCGGGCAGAGGGACGCCTGGTCATTACCTCCCCGCGGCACTCCCTGCCCTGCCCGGCGACTCGGGGCGTCCTCTTGGGCGGCAGGTCTCATACCTTAATCCACGGATTTGGCACTTATCGCTGAGGTTATTAAAGGCTAGTCAAATAACAGCGAGAGAAGCGAAGAGCTGTTTTGGAGGCTGTTGCTCTACTAACGGCCCTTCACTTCTTTCACTGGGAATCTCTGATGCAGGAGTTAATGGCACATCTGCCTCCGACGTGGTTTTTGAATAGCTGCAGGCTCTGAAGACATGGCTGAGGGCTCAGTAAGAGCCTCCCACCTTCTCAGGTCTGCAGAAAACTTGTGAAGTTTTAGTCTTCAAAGTTTAGGGAGGGGGGGAAAAACTGTGCTTCCCTGAGTTTCAAATGAGCGTGCACTCTGACTCTTGACATTTTTTTCCAATCAGTTTTATTTTGGAAATCAAGCCTTCTGTAATAACTAATGGAGCGAATTATTTCCAATCATCAAGCTGTAGATTAAACGTGCGTTTCTTTAGATATTTATTTCCTGCTGTAGGCTGCCTCAGATAAAGCTGTTCTCTAATGCATTTATAATACATAAAATGTGCTATAAATAAGTACACTAGCCAAAGAATTAACTGCTGGCAGCAGTTAGTTCCTTCAGGGTGAGAGAGGGAGTGTAAACGCTTGCAGCTAGTTATGAGAGCAACCAGATCTCCTTTCCTCTTCATCTCCTCCTGCCCGCAGCCCATCCATGCGTGCTCGATGGCTTACCGTCCCCGGGAAGGGTACCCTGGCACGCATGTTGATTCTGGCTCTCGCAAAGACAAAAGAGCCAAAGAAGGAACGATGCTGCCAAAGTTTTTGAGACACGCTGAGAAGGACAGTGTATAGCTTAGTAATATATCTAGATGTCTTGTACTTTGATTGTGGTCGTGGGATGAAGAAGTGATTGAGTTGTGGAAATGCAGGGAGGAGAAGAGTCCTCTTTTTTCCTCACACAGTTGAAGGAAATGACTGAATATTTTAATGAATATTTATCAAGTCCAGCATGGCTTTTTTCTTGCTAGCTGCTTTTTGATTTCTGGCTATCAAATGAGATAGTAAATGACCTCGTGTCTTTTCAAGGGACAAGTAACTTCATACGTTAAAGGTGTTACTCTGTTATTTTAGATATTCCGGATCAAGTAATAAGAGTTTTCAAAGCAGATCAGCAGAGCTGTTACATTATCATCAGCAAGGACACTACAGCAAAAGAAGTTGTGAGTCACGCCGTCCACGAATTCAACTTGACGGGAGCCCCAGAGACCTACTCCCTCTGCGAAGTGTCTGTCAGCCCCGAGGGAGTCATCAAACAACGGAGACTCCCAGATCAGTTCTCAAAATTGGCCGACAGAATTCAACTCAATGGACGGTAAATGGTCCCTTGTGATTTCAGTTTGGATTTATTTGCCTTTTAGGATTGAAACATCCAAAAGAAACACTGGGGAGGGATGCCTTAATTAAAATAGACAGGTGTCTATTAGAAGAACAAGCAAGTAAATGTCAGTAACTTACACTTCCCTCTCTTTTTTTTCTTGTTGCACCTTCCTCTTCTGCGCCCAAAAAAACCCTCCCCAAATCTACAGCAAGCTCGCTTGATGACAATTAAATGTAGCAAATCAGGATAACATATATAGTGGCTTACACTTAGAACAAATATAATTTTTTTCTTTTTGACGCTTTCCACATGTACTTCAGGATTAAAGCATACAATTAATTTCTTTCTCAGTGATGTCATGTTGCAACGAACTGATACTAACCTGAGATAAACTCTTCCATTTTTATGTAAACTGTTATGAATGTTTCTGAAATGTTAAGTGCGTCAGTTTTATCTGATGACCTGATCCATACCAGAAGAAAGTTTATTCCGTAAAAAATTCTTTAGTCTTCTTTGCTAGGCAACAGAGGGAATTTATGAGGAATACACTTTTGTATATCTGAAAGTGATCTGCTTGGGACCATGGAAATTAATTTTCCAGATACATTTTCATTTCCTGAATACTATGTGCTTCATGTAAATATTAATATGCCACACTAAATTTATGTAAGAAACCACACTAAATTTGTCTAAGAAATGGAGAAATACATTAATGAGATTTCTCGGGACTAATGTGTATTTAAAATGTTATTTCACAGCTGAATTTACAAACGGGAAAGTAACTGACCTTCTTCTGAAGGTGAAAGCTACAGCATATTGCGGAGTACAGTATAGAAAATATTAGCAAAGCGGTAGATTAAAACAGCTTTTGAAATGTTTTTTTTACTTCAGTAATGATGGTATTTTATACTAGCTAAAGTACAAGGTTATGCTGTCCCTTCTTGCCTCTGTCTTTGCCTCTCACACTGGGTTGTCAACAGCAATGTGGAAATACTCTCATATAAACACGCCTGTGGTGTCAGTAATGTCCACATTGATTGGTATAGTGCAATGTCTTTGTGTTCAGAAACCCTCTGAAGAGCATCTCTAATGTTTTATTGTAACTCAACTATTCTTTAGGTATTATCTGAAAAACAATATGGAGACAGAGACCTTATGCTCAGATGAGGATGCTCAAGAGCTACTGAGAGAAAGCCAAATTTCCCTCTTACAGCTGAGCACCATTGAGGTTGCCACTCAGCTTTCCATGAGAGACTTTGAATTATTTCGCAATATTGAGCCTACAGAATACATTGATGACCTTTATAAGCTAGACTCCAAAACAGGAAATGCTCACCTGAAACAGTTTGAAGATGTCATAAATCAAGAGACGTTCTGGGTTGCCATGGAAATTTTAGCAGAGCCCAACCAACTCAAAAGAATGAAGATTATTAAGCATTTCATTAAAATTGCCCTCCACTGTCGAGAATGCAAGAACTTCAATTCCATGTTCGCGGTTATAAGGTAAAATACTTCCCATTTGTCAGATCTGTGTTGTGCTGTCAAAGGTATTTTGTTAATCTAAACGGAAAGAAAAGAAATAGGTATATCCTGAACAGGTTACCGATGGTGCTGGGTGGTTTTAAGGGAATTACCAAGCTTTTCAAAAGCCAGACTGTACAAAGAGATGTATTGTCGCTGCAGTCTGTCTTCCTCAGCCTCAGAAGTTCAGTCTTATTGCGGTGGTTGATGTGACTGTCTCTTTTTTTAATTCTTACTTTGAAAGAGAAGATTTGGACAAAAGCAGTGTTTGCCTGATGAACTTCAGAAACCTGCCTGAACACTGCTGTCATTTTCTGTGATTCTGGCACTTTATTTCCTTTCTCTTTTCAGTCATTGTTACTTTTTCAGTGTGCACTGAGTCATATCTGCGATGATGAGATTTCTTTATTTCTTCCTTTCATTGTAAGGACTTCCTCAAATCAGTCTTGTTTTAGTTTAATTTTCCTTTTCATTCTTTCCTGTCATCTGCTTGCTCCTCTGCTTTGTTTTTTTTTTTTTCCCCCTCTTCATATGCACATTTAGGCTTTCTCTTCTGATTTATACTAGATGCTGTTACTTTAACAGCATGAAGCTTTCTCTTCTGATTTATACTAGATGCTGCTACTTAAACAGCATGAGTTCAGCATTTCCTTTATTTGCAATTAACTTATATCCAGGTTTTAATTTAAGAAAAAAAAAAAAGGCGCTGTGATTCATCAGACAAAGATCTGGATTCGTGCTGTATCCCAGCACCAGCACTATCTTTGAAAATACCATTTTTAAATATTTTCTTCCATGTCTAGCCAGTTTATCAAATGGTATTGGCTTCTGTTTAGTCATACACTAAAGAATTCATTAATTTCCTTAAAGGGTACTGGGCAACCATTGGGGCTGTGGGTACTCATTACATGGTGAATACACATGTGGATCCTGAATCTAATTTCTATATTCTGCTCCCTAATTTCTCATGGTTTATTGACTCTTCCTGCTTCTCAGTTAAGTCTAATCAGGCCATGACTGAAGTGATCCTTGGTCAAAAAAAAGCAGATAAATTAGCTTTTGTTTTACCCTTATTTCCAGAGGAATATGTTTTTGTTAGCATATGCCACAGGGGTTCTCGTTCTTGCCTTGCATTGCATATCAATACGATGCCATATGTTTCATGAAATAGGAAGATAACCATCCTAATGTAGCATGTGAAAGAGGAGCTGTGTGGTGGCATATGTTTGATTTTTCACATGAGAGAAGGCTTTGTTTGTGGTTTGACAATAGCATGGAGAGAAATCTGTATTAAAAAAAAAAAACCAAATACAAAATAAGTTTTTGAAGCTTTCAAAATGAGAAAAATCTTCTTAGAATAACAAATTCAGTAACTGTATGATTCTGGATTTACTAATGAATGCTGGAGAATATCACTTTCCAGTTCTGCAGCTACAAGAACTTTGCAGTCATTGCAAAATTTCTTGAGCAAAGTTGGTGACAAATTATGATAGGGAGGATGGATATATTTCATCTTTTAAATTTTTTTTTATTGCATCCAGATACTTCTGGATATATTTTTACTTAATGAGAATGAGGGCACAATAGCAAATTTTAGCATATCTGCTGCTTCTAGTTCTTAGTCTGTTTGTGCTCATTTACAAATGCTCCAAACATACTCCTCTTAAGTCTTGCCACTTTTGCTTGCGATAAGCTGTGCACTGTTCTCACTTGCTACTGTAGCAGTGCATTCACCTCATTAATTTTTCACCCTTTTTGTCCTTATTGCGGTATACATTTTTACAGGAGAGAAACAGTTTTTAAATTAAACGGGCATCAGTACTGTGTTAGAGAGAGATTGTTTTGGCAGACTAACTTGAAATTTGTACCTTGTGAATAGGAAGCAGTCATGCTTTTTGCAGTTCTTTTTTTCAGATGCTCATAAGAGCGAACAGCAGAGGTTTATTGTGATGAACTTGCAGCCTGGCGTTCACCAGCTTGACAGTTAACCTTGTGAAAGCTATCTTTAATCCTTAAAACAAAAAAACAACCCTTTACTTCCTTATGAAAGGTAATGATTCCGCTAACAGCTAATAACGAAATGTGTCTGCCTTACAGTGGGTTAAATCTAGCACCAGTAGCACGTCTCAGAGGCACTTGGGAGAAGTTACCGAGCAAGTATGAAAAGCACCTCAGAGACCTTCAAGATCTTTTTGATCCATCTCGAAACATGGCAAAATACCGCAACATCCTTAGCAGCCAGAGCATGCAGCCTCCAATTATTCCACTTTTTCCTGTTGTCAAGAAGGATATCACGTTTCTGCATGAAGGTAATGTCAAACATAGAAAAATAATAAACTAAGCATTGGATACGCTTTAGCCCGTTCTTCAGTGCTCTGTGATTCAACAGATGTCTAAAAGAAGCTGCCACCAGTAGGATGCTTTTCATGCATCCTTTGTGGGAGTAAAATAAAGTAGAACTCTGAATGCATAATGGAAGAGACTGATCCTAGACAAAAATTAAACATTAAATGCATATTTTTAATATTTTAAAAGCAATGCTTAATCTTCATCAGCTGTCTAAGGTTTAGGGTGCAGGAGTAGGTGAGTGTGCTAACTGTAGTAGTTACACTACTTCAAACATATTTCTCTTACAAAAACTTGTTGCTGCCATGTTTCTAGGTTTTAGTTCCATGTTACGGCTTTCAGATAGCTATGATGATACAACACCTCCTACTCTTGCTTTCAGCATTTTCAAAGGTTTTTGTTTAAACATTTCCATTTTTTTCCTTTTACACAAAGTTCTGTTCACAATTGGTTAAGGTGTTAAGCATTTCCAAATATGCCCAATTCTTGTGATGTTTCAGAACTATTTGAACTAGTTTCAGAATGCGAACGCTGTTGATGTCAGATCTATATTTATATTATTTTAACATCTATGCCAATGAATTTGGGCATAGTTCGCTTACTCCTTTTTCCTCCTACTAATATTTGTTATTTTAGAAATAGATTAACAAGAGCAATGCTAGGTAGTCTGAGTGACCCTGATTGTCACTTGTGTTTTGCCAGAGTTTCCTGTTTTCTTGCTATTTTGATTAAAGCAGTTTTGTTGATGGAGGTGCAGGGAGGGAGGAGGGGTAATGTGGAGGACATAGAACCACGTTGCCCATTAAAAAAGTATTTCTTACTCTCTTTTTTTCATATATGTGTGTGTTTCAATTATGCAGGAAATGATTCTAAAGTGGATGGCCTGGTAAATTTTGAGAAACTCAGAATGATTGCCAAAGAAATTCGCCAAGTTGTCAGAATGACCTCAGCAAACATGGATCCGGCTGTAATGTTCAGACAAAGGTGTGCAATTTAGAAAGGCAGTAGGATTGAAGGTGTCTCAGAGTGGGTAGGGATCTGGGTTTGTGTGTGCATCAGTACGTTAATATTTCATTGTGTAACTTACCATTGACACTCACCATCAGAACCGCAATCTTTATCAAATTATGTCAATACAGTTGATGCTTCCAAGACCTGCTTTTAATGACTACTAAACCAATTTTTTGTCTTTTAAAAGTAAGGAAGAATAGGTTCTAGTTTTAATGATTCATATTTTTGCTAAATAAAATGTTAGAGTCAGTAGAGTTTTGGGAGAGGTATAATATTAGGGGGGTACAATAATATCTATATATGAGAGAGAGAAAGATAAAAAGCACCTAAATCACCCATGTATAAATCTGAAATGTTGCTTCAAAATGACACCCCACTGATAACACATTAAAAACAAACAAAATATTTTTTATTTGTTCTAAACACAGCTTGCTCCACCTATGTAATGTTTGATATGTTCAGGCTGTAAGGAAGTGGAGGGTGTTTTCTTGTTTTCTCTCCGCCCC